ACCAGCTCCCCACAGGTAACAGACCAGCTCCCCACGGGTAACAGACCAGCTCCCCACAGGTAACAGACCAGCCGCCCACAGGTAACAGACCAGCCTCCCCGCAGGTAACAGACCAGCCTCCCTGCAGGTAGCAGACCAGCTCCCCACAGGTAACAGACCAGCTCCCCCGCAGGTAACAGACCAGCCCCCCCGCAGGTGGCAGACCAGCCCCCCCGCAGGTAACAGACCAGCCCGCCGCTGCCTGGGCCGTTACAGGAACACCAGTGCCGCCAATCTGGATGCATCCTCTGTGGTTTTGAAAAACATTTGAATCAGCAGAGAGAGGAATCTGTATTTTCCTGAACTGACTTCTCAGCCCCAAGGCTGCTGCTGTTGAAATAGCCGCACCTTCGTCTGCCTCCCCCACGTCACCTTACTTGACTTTTCACTATTTGTTAAAAAGACCCCGAGGAATTGATGACACAAAGTTAAAAAGAAAGCATTCCTCAACTCCAACTGAGTCTATTCTTGTCTTTTAATGGAAGTCTTTTCCCATTAAATGACCTTTTACACGGAAAGACTTTATGGATAAGGCAAAAGTCAGAATTTCAGAATTTGGATCACAGTTGAATCGAGCATTAGAAAGGATATATTCTTTAAAATTTGCAGAGAGAGACTTTTCACATTAATGATCTCTCAACTTCTGGATTTCTACCGTGGATTGAAATACACCATAAAGTCAACATAAACGTAATAAAGTTAGTGACATAAGACCACGTGACGCTGAAGGCAATGGAACAGACCGGAAACTCGTAGATGTGTGCAGAGGTCCACTGTGACCATGTGACCACCCACAATTATGAATCTAAAAGTTATGAGCACGACAAAAAGAATTAAGGTGGGAAAAAAAATAATTCACCACCAACAAATAGGCAGAGAGGGCGTGGTCAGAGGCAGTTGTGGCCTCATTGATTTGTCTCTCTGCCCACTTGAACTTGACACATCAGCCTTCCACCCCTTGCTCTTCCGGGTCCTTCTCGCCAAGCCCCAATCTCAGACCCCCGGGGGCTGGGTGGTCTCTGCTTTTTCTGCAGCAGCCGCAGATGGACTGGTCCTAGGGTCCTGCCACGGCTGCTGTGTCCCTCCCAGGTTCCAGGACCCCCTCCCTGTTCAAGATGCATCCAGCCCCCAGCCTCCATGGCAGTGGCCCCCCACCCACCTGTCGCCCCTCCCACCCCCAGGCACACTGTCTGCTCCCCACGGCTGAGCCTTCGTGCTGCCTATCCAGGGACCTCCCGTTCTCGAAGGCTCCAAGCACCCTCGCCCGCAGGCCCCACTGCCTTCCCTGAACAGTGAGCATCCGAGTCTTCCCCACCAGCTCCTTGCCAGAAAGAGGAGTTCTTGTGGTTCGGTCCCCGTGGCGTGCTCTTCATGCGTCACCTCTCGGCCCCGTGCTGTCCAACAGAAATTCCCACCACGGTGGCCGTGGTCTGCCCCCAGCCCCACGTGGCTGCTGAGGAACCCGAGGAACTAAATTATACAATTTATTTAAATCAAATTAAATTTGAATTTAAATGGCCACAGGCTACACAGCTAGTAGCTATGGTATTGGACAGCTCAGCTTTAGAGTGTATGAATGTAAATCCTTAAGATTCTTCTTTATTTATTTATTTATTTGAGGCGAAATTCACAAAACATAAAATTTACCATTTTAAAGAGAGCAATTCAGTGGTATTTTGTACATTCACAATGTTGTGCACCCTCCACCTCTATCTAATTCCAGAACATTCCATCCCCCCAAAAGAAACCCCGTCCCCATCAGCAGTCACTCCCCATCCTCCTCCCCAGCCCCTGACAACCACCAACCCACTTTCTGTCTGTGGATGTGCCTGTTCTGGACACTTCACATCAATGGAATCACACACCGTGTGTCCTTCCGTGTCTGGCTTCTCTCACTGAGCATTGTATGTTCAAGGTCCATCCAAGGTGTAGCTCTGTCAGGGCTTCACTCCTTTTCATGGCTGCATACTATTCCCCTACATGGATGAACCACACTGTGTGTATCCATTCACCCATTGATTTTTTCCTCCATCTGTGTTCTTTTTGTCTTTGGCTGTGAGCTCCTGGAGGGCCAGGTCTCTGTTGAATTTTCTTAGTGCAGTGATGTTTATAAAGCACAGCACCACAGAATCACCGTGACCAGTGACATTTAGGGTCCACATCGGAAAATCACAGAATCACAGTGGATGACTTCTAAAGCCCCAGCTTTACATAAATGAACAAAACGCTCCTCTTCCTCTCTTGACTCTGGAGCACATTTTGATCCTTCACATTTTCATAGCTTTGTGTGTCCAGTCGGTACTCTAAGCAAAATGACAAAGCCACACTGTGACAACACGACACAGGAGCCCAGAGGGCCGTGGAGTCCAGGAGCAGGGCCTGGACAGAGGGAACCTGGACCTGAGTCTTGATTCTGGAACTTTGTACTCTGAGGGTCTGAGACATTCTCGACCTCTCTAGGCTTCCCTTTCCCTCGTGTATAAGATGGGGACAAGTCCAGTGTACTGGGGACCGTGGTGTGCTACACGGCACTCTGCCAGGGGGAGGTGGTGTGGACGGCTGTCCAGAGGGTTCTCCTCGTCACCCAGCTCTTGGCTCAGTGCCAGGGACAGCCACGTCACCTCCAGGACTACAGACCCCAAGGAGGCAAAGCCGTTGGGGGCGCGTGCTCCTGTGTGTGTGTGTGTGTGTGCGTGCATGTGCACGTACCTGCTGTGTCTAAGTCGGCCTGAGTGTGTGAGTGTGCACCCTCGTCTCCTTTCCCATCAATCCGCTCAGCTTTTCATAAAGTGACAGTGGCCTAGGCGGCAGTAGCTCTGTTGTCACCTGTGTTGGTTTTCAGGCCTCACCTCTGACAAGTCTAAACGTCCTTCTCTCCTTCCCTTCTAGAGGGTGCTGGTCCAGGCAGCCGGCTCAGCTCCCAAGGGGGCCCATATGCAGCCAGTCGCCCTCCCCAGAGTCCAGCAGGTGCCACAGCAGGTAACCGCAGCACAGGTGACATGCACGCATTAGCACTTAGCGATCCGGAGCCCTCTCTGAACGATGCCTCCTTTTCTGTTGTTGCTGTTCCTTTTCTTTGATATCTTCTGTTTCTTTCCAGAAGGTTCTCTTGGAAGCCACGTTTAAAACAAATTTATTGCAGATAGTTTTGCAGTAAACCAAAAAAGCTGATAATCTTTCGTTCATTCAGAAATTCAGCATTTGGGGCACAAGCCAGCACCTCGATAGAGCGCTGGGGTGCTGAGGTCAACACGCGGGCAGATAGCGAAGGTTTCTGGACTGAAGGAACATGGAGCCATCTGGGCAAGCAGTGTTGTCCCCTCGGACAAGCCCCACGACCCAGGAAGCACCTTTGTGAAATTAAATGATCTAAGAACAAAGCTGGACAGTGTGGGCTCACCAGCCAAATAGTAGCACAGTTCATCAGCTCAGATGGAGTCAGAATGATCTAGAACATCAGTCAGCAAACCTTTTCTGGAAAAGGCCACATAGTACACTTTGTTGGCTTTGCAAACTAGATGGTCTCCGGCCCAGCCACTCAACACTGCCATTGTCTCCCACAGCAGCTGTTGATGTAAATGAACGGGCATGGCCATGTGCCAATAAAACTTTATTTGCAAAAACATGGTGGCTAGAGCTGGCCCACGGGCCGGAGTTTGCTGACTTGTCCCTGTAAGATGCTGAATTAAAACGAATTCAGGCTCCTGCCTAAAAGGAACCCTGAGTGAGATATGGAGATGGCCGAGACCCCAGAGAACACGCCTCTCTCTTCAAGGGGCTCCTGCTCAGATTAGTAGTGGGTTAGAGATGTGTGTCTGCTGGCTGTGTCGATGAGAACTGGGGAAGGCTTGCGGGGTCACGGGAGAGAAGCAAAGGCTCCGGGCAGGCCCAGCAAGGAACCAGTGGCTCTGTCTTAGCTCCTCGAGGGAGGGGAGAGCAAGACCAAAGTCGTGATTCCAGAAGCTTCCCCTCCTCTGTGGGGCTGGGCCTGCCCCAGTTCTTTCTCTCTGGGCAACTTGGACTTTTGGGGTGACTTCTGCATTTCACCTGGTCCCCTATGGCAAAGCTCTCCCAGCATGTTAACCCCTGGAACTTTCTCACAGGATGCTGGCTATTCCAGGGGGTGTATGTGTGCAAGTGTACACCATCCTCAGACGCAGGAGGTGGTGCCGTCCCACCGCACCTTGCAGAGATTTAGAGAGAGGTCACGATGAGACCCAGCTCTCAACTTTCTCACCCCAAAATGAGGTTGAATTAGGTGTCTGTTAAGGTTCCCTCTGCGGTGAGATTTTCAAGTTCTGCACCCAGAGCTCTGAGGCCAGCATCCCCGGGGGTCATCGCTGAGGCGTTGAACTGATGTTCAGATGGATGAGGGCTAGGACGGGATGAGCATGTGCTGGGGTCTTCCCATCGGCCCCCTCTCTCCATCTCCCACTCCAGGCACATCACTCCTTCCAATCCTGCTCAGACCCTCGGTCTCTCCCCAGTGTGGCTCCCGGGACTCCTGCCCCTCTGCAGGGGAGGGGCACCAAGGCCTCACCAAGGGGGCGTCAGGGGGCCGTGTAGAGTATAGTGAGCTGGAGCCCTCTGCCCTGCCCAAGGGGGGAGGGATCCAACACTCTGAGGTTGGCGTTCCGTCCACACTCTGGCTGCCACTGTCCAGTAGGACTAACCCTTCTGCATGGCTGGCACCTTCCCAGCTCTGCTGACAGCTTTGCTCTGAGCTGTTGGCTGGGCTCCTCCCCAGAAGAATAGGGGCCACCGACCTCGCCTCCTTGCGCCTCACAGCAGCAATGAGCCACCACTCACAGAAAACACAGCGAACCCCCGAGCGGAACTCAGTAACAGTTCCATCCTGTGTGGCCTTTATGTGGCTATTTCCCCTAGTTTCCTTCTAGAAGTGCCAACAGTGGGTGGGAACACTATAATGTGGAGCTAAATGTTCATAAAAGGCAGTAGAAGAGATTTTCGGCTTGAATAATCTGGAAATCATGGACAAGAAAACTCCTGTGTGTAACATGGACTATCTGATGTTGTTTCAGGTCCAGGCTGTACAGCACGTGTACCCCCCCCAAGTGCAGTACGTGGAAGGGGGAGACGCCGTCTACACGAATGGAGCCTTGTACGTGGGTTTCCTCTCTCTAGAAAGGGTCCCCGCAGGAAACCATAGGCCACTTCTGGAACCTTCTTTCACGACTCTCCCACCTTTGTCCACAGGGATTGTTTGCCCAAAATCCCCTCCCATGTCCTCTGGGTCATATGTTTGAATTATGACAACAGTATTAGGACATTGCGGCCCTGTGGAGATTCTAGAAGTCGAAGATCTTTATAGTTATACTTCTAGAAAAGATAGTCTTAAAAAAAACAAATGACTCTAATCCAACTTCTAAGTCTAAAGAGTCAGTCTTCGCAATCCAGAAACCATTTCCATCTCTGCTTTCTCCTCCTGGCCTTTGTTAACCTTTGGCTTTTTATGATGTTGAGAAAACTTGATTTTCCATTTGTCAGGGACTTCTAGAGTTTTCTGCTTTCGAACTCTGTGCTGCTTGGGGCAGAAAAGGGTACATTTCTCATGAAGCTCATGTGCTCGAGACACGAGTCCTTTTGCTCGTTTTTTCTCATTCTTTTTTGGCGACTCCCCTTCCAGAGTTCAGGGGTCTCAAGTGAGGGTTTGGTTGTGGTTCGAGATGTGGTTGCTGGTGTTGTACGAGTTTCTACAACACAGCATTGAAGGGTACAATACACACCCAGACACAAATGTGTGTATAAAACTGGTGACATCTGAGCAAGTTCTGTAGGTTGCACCAGTGTCAACTTCTGGATTTGATTATATAGGATGTCACTCTGGGGGACAGGACGAGAGTGCACGCCACCCTGCCATCCCTGCCTTCCCTCATGACACATCACTGACCTTCAGTCACCACCGAGGAGAAACTGTTACTAACCGCCTTTAGGTGTGGCCGGCGTTATGCAAGAGGAACTTAAAAATTTAAGTCCCAACATACATGGTTAATCATTTGATCCAGATGTTAAAGGAACATCAGACAAATTCTGGCTTCACTTAGAAATTCTTTTTATGATGCAATTTCATTTTCTGAAACTTTTTGTCTTGAAATAATCAGACTCACAGGAAGTTGTGAAATTAGTCCACAGAGTCCTGTGTACCCTTCACCCAGCCTCCCCCAGCGGTGACATCTTCCATGACTCTAGGACAATATCCACACCAGGAAATGGACACGGGGACAGTCCTGTTGACTAGCCTATGGGCCTTACTCGCTTTCTCCAGTCATTGCACGCATTCGTATGCGCGTGCGTGTATGTGTGGGCATGCATGTGTGTATGGTTCTATCTGGTTTTACCCCATGTATCGATTTCGTGTAAGCACAAGAAGATACAGAATTGTTCCAACTCCAGAGAGGGGCTCCCTCATGCAACCCCTTTTTAGGCTCAGAATTTTTAAATGATCAGGTTTTGATGAGTTGTCCTGTGACCCTGAATATTTTCAGAGACAGTCGCTCTGAACTTTGCACTGCGTTGGCATTTCCTGTGTGAATTACCCCACATGCTCCATCTCCTGGGGCTCCAGCCTTTACGTGATGTTTTGCTGGACCTCTTTGAGACTCAGAGTAGGCCCCTTCTCTCTTTCTGACAGGCGGACGGCCTATGCCTACAACCCCGAGCCTCAGATGTACGCCCCCAGCAGCGCGGCTTCTTACTTTGAGGCCCCAGGTGGTGCCCAGGTGACCGTGGCAGGCTCCTCCCCGCCAGCGGTCCCCTCCCACAGCATGGTGGGCATCGCCATGGATGTTGGGGGGAGCCCCATCGTCTCCAGCGCGGGAGCCTATCTCATCCACGGGGGGATGGACAGCACGAGACACTCTCTGGCCCACACTTCCCGGTCATCGCCAGCTACGGTATGTACGAGGGTCCTGGGGGCAGCAGGTTAGACCCTGAGTAGGCTCTCAGCAGCAGCAGGGATGGTGAGTAAAAGGCAGCCTGGAGCACTGGAATTGGAGCCCTCCCGGCCTCAGACAGGCTGTGTGACCCAAGGCCATTGACCTCAATTCCTCCATTGGTAAAAAGAGAGAGTACACTGGCCATCAGGGGCTATTGTGAACACTGCATACAGGTAAAGCATCTCCATGCTGGGAGATGCTGCAGCTGCTGCTGGTGTTGTCATGGTTACCATCATCAGGATCATCAGCCCCTTAGAGCCTTAGATCTGTCCATCCACACAGAGACTGGACTGCACTAACAAGAGGGAATTTCTCTTAAGAGCGATACCACATTGTTCCCGCCATGTTCCCGTCCGAAACAATGACTTACGGCTTTCAAAACTCTATTTTCCATGGTGACTTTTATTTTTTAAATTAACACAGAGTAAATTTGATTTTTTTTTGATGTACAGACCCACGAGTCTTAACACACGTACAGATTCGTGTAACTATCAAAGAATGGTTGTGTCACCCCAAAACTCCCTCGTGGTATCACTTTATGGTAACCACCTCCCCTCAACCACAACCCCTGGCAACGGCTGATCCATTCTCTGTCACTATAGTTGGGTCTTTGGGGGATTTTCCTATCAACGGTATCACACAGTGGTTACCTTTTGAGACCAGCTTCTTTCACTCAATATGGCGCCTCTGAGATCCAGTCAAGCTGTTGGATGAATCGTACTTCCTTCTTCTTTGTTATGAGCAGCTTCCCGTTAGACTACAGCTTGTGGATCCATTCACCAGTTGAGGGCCATTTGGGTGATTCCCAGTTTGGGGTGATTACGAATAAAGCAGTACAAGGACTCACTCACAGGTTTTTGTACGGACATATGTCTTCCTTTCTCTTGGGTAAATACCTCCCAGTGGATTGCTGGCTCACGTGGTAAGTTTCTCAGAAACCAACAGTTTCCCCAAGTGGTTGTACCATTTCGCCTTCCCCCAGCGACGTGTGAGAGTTCCCCTTGCTGCACCTCGTCGCCCGCGCTTGGTCTTGTCAGCATTTTTCATGGTAGCCATTCCAACAGGTGTGGAGTGGCAGCTCATTGTGGTGGTAATTTGCATTTTGCTAATCGCTCATGATGGTAAGCAGCTTTTCATGTGCTTATGTGCCTTCATATATGCTCTTTGGTGGTGTGTCAGTTCAAGTCATTTGTTTATTTCTTAACTGGATGGTTTGTTTTCTTATTGTTGAGTTTTGAGACTTCTTTACAGATTCCGGATACAAGTCCGCTGTCAGATATGTGATTTGCAAATATTTTTCTTCCATTCTTTAGAGCGTCTTTTCATTCTTTTAAGAGTGTCTTTTGCGAGAAAATTTTTTTTCTGATGATTTTGATCAAATCCAATTTATCAATTTTTCTTTTTTGAAAACATCATACTTTTGATGTCATTTCTGAGAACCCGTCGCCTAGTCCCAGGTCATGAAGATTTTATCCTATGCTTTCTTTGAAAAGTTTTCTAGTTTTACATTTTACATTTAGATCTGCTTCATTTTGTGTTAACTTTTGTCTAAGATGTAAGGTTTAGGTCGAGGTTTATTTTTATGTACATGAAACACCCAGTTGTTCAGCATCATTTGTTAAAAAGACTCTCCTTTCTCCATTGGATTGCTTTTGCACCTTTGTCAAAATCAGTTGGCTGTATGTGTGGGGTCTATTCCAGGACATTCCATTCTGTTCCATTGATCAACACCACACTGTCTTAATTACAACAGCTTTATAGTGAGTCTTAAAATCGGGTCGAGTGGTTCCTCTCGCCTTATGCTTCTCCAGTAGTGTGTTGGCCATTCATATAAATTTAGAATTCTCTATATAAATTTTAGGTCAGTTTATCTATATCTACAAAAATTCCTACTAAGATTTTGATGAAACAGCATTAAACCTGTAGATCAATTTGGGGAGAATTGACATCTTTACTGTCTGGGTTTTCCAATCCATGAACATGGTATGTTTTCTCCATTTATTTAGATCTTTGATTTCTTTCATCAGCATTTGGTAATTTTTAGCATGCAGATCCTGTACATATTTTATTAGATTTATTCCTAAGTATTACAAGCTATTGTAAATGATGTTGATTTTTTCAGTTTCCAACTGTTCAGTGCTTGTATGTGAAACTATGGTTGGTTTTTGACTGCTGACCTGGCCTTCTGCAAGCTTGCAGAACTCACTTTTTAGTTCTAAGAGTTTTTTATTGTCTGCAAATAGGAACAATTTTATTTCTTTCTTTCCAATCTGGGTGACCTTTATTTCTTTTTCTTGCCTGTTTGCACTGGCTAGGGCCTCCAGGACAATACTGAATGGCAGTGGTGAGGAGGGACGTCCTTGCCTTGTTCCCAGTCCTAGGGGAAAAGCCTTCAGTCTCTCACCACTACGTGTGATGTTAGTTGTAGGTGTTTCATAAATGCCCTTTTTCAGCTTGGGGAAGTTCCCGTCTATTCCTAGTTTTCTGAGAGTCTTTATCATAAACGGATGTTGAGTTTTGTCAAATGCTTTTTCTTCATTGATATGATTATGTGTTTTTCTTTCTTTAGATAGTTAATATGATGGATTACATTGATTGATTGTCAATTAGATAATAACTTGCTATTTTTGTGTGGGGCTAATCTGAAATAGAAGGTGATGTTTTGGCCTCACCCCTGTTCTTTTGGTCCTGATGTGTTTTGGGGTCACCCTGACATCAGAGAAGCCCCCGTCTTGCTGTCCTGCCTCTGTGTCCAGAGTGCTCTCCAGGACCTGGCTCTGAAGACAGGAGGAGAGGCTGTGACGTGTGGGGCAGAGCCTGCTGCTCTGTCCCTTCCCTGCCATCAGCACACCGGGGCCTGGTGGCTGCGGGAGACCAGACATGCTTCTCCCTCCAAGATTGGCTGGGCGGACCTAAGTCTAGAGCTGTTATTGATCAGGAAGCATTCCTCACAGACTGTATTAACTTTCTCGAATATGGGAGGCTCAATTTTAGCAAACTGTATCAATTTATAATACAGTCATGTGCTGCATAATGACGTCTCAGTCAACAACAGACTGTGTAGACAATGGTGTTCCCATAAGATAAGTATCATAGAGCCTAGGTGTGTAGTGGGCTATACCATCTAGGTCTGTGTATATAAACTCTATGATGTTCACACAACAATGAAATCACCTAACAACCCATTTCTCAGAACGTGTCCCTGTCGTTAAGTGACACATGACTGTCGTAGAATATTCTAGGATCGCAGGTCACAGATTTACTGAGAAACGGCAGTGTTCTCTGTGGTCCACACTGCCTTGTTGCCAGCAAACGCAGCTCAGAACCCAGGCCACCGGCTGCTGTGGTTTCTCGTCTGGGTTGCTCTAGAAGAATCGAGTTTTTAAATCTATTGGAAATCCATGAAGCGGCTGTGTTTCGACACACCCGCCATGAAAGCCTCTGAGAGTGCTCCTCTCAGGTGAGAATCTGGTTCCTGACCCCGCCTGCTCTGTGGCTTATCGGCTTGTTTTTGGCGTGGGAACATCTCACGAGGATGCAGCAGAGATCCGAGGGACTTTCCAGGAGCCAAGAACAGGAACAGCCCTGAGATGGCAACAGAAAGAGAACATGGCTCCTGTAACCGACGTTTGTCACCTGTTAGTTTTCTTATGTCAGAGTTTCATTTCGTGGGAGTTTAAGTTAATCCTGAAAACGGAGCATAAAGACCAGAGTGAATCACCACCCGCAGCCTCAATGAGCGATTTCAGACTTCTGGTGACAAATTTTCTTAAGTCTTTATTTCCGGTTAAAATTCCATCAGTACTATAAATCCTCAAAGTGAATTGTTCAAATGGAGAGCTTTTGGTAAAACTTTTCTGTTGTGCTTTTTTTTAACTATGTGGAGCAGAGATACTAAATTGAGAGGTCTGCTCTTGTCATTTCAGCCAGGATTTGCCCTTTGGGTTGTGTCAAGGGGAGGCTGGGGGCTCCGGGGGCTGTACCAGGAAGAGAGCCCGCCCCCCGCAACAGCTGCCCTCAGAGGGCTCTCCTCCCCCAAGACTCAGGGCCTGTGAGAGGCCATGCCACGCAAACAGGCAGCCCCCATGGACCACACAGTGGGGCTGATGAGGACAAATGGTCTATCCAACTTTTGAAATAATAAAAATACAACAATCCACTCCATGAGGGGTCCTGTCATTGCGATGTCTCCTTCAGGGCCTCCAGGTCTGGCCTGATGATGGAGAAGTTGACCCATTGGTCAGGTTCCCACATCTGAGCAGCATCTTTTTGAACCCTTCATTTCCCGGAAGTCAGAGTCGGAGCTCACAGGTGCTGGTGGCTCTGGGTATTCAGGTCTCGCAGAGCTGGGGATGGAGTCCACCCTGGCGACTCTGCCCAGGCTTGCCGGACACCTGGTCTGCGAGCGTGTGCTACACAGAAGCCGGAAGGGCGAGCACTTCACCCTGGAGAATTCAGCAAGTGGATTCGGATCGTTCTCTGGTTGTGTTCAGCTACGAAAAGAACTTCTGTAAGCTTCGTGGTGCCTGATGCGATTTTCAAACATGCCTAAGAATACACCATCAATTTCTTCCTCTTCCAAGTGAAGAAAATCCTCGTGTGTTGGGTTTGAGGAGTGTCTCAGCAGACCAGCTCCTTGGAACACTTCAGGTGTTCTTCAGAAATCCTAAGATCTCATTCGTGATGTTAAAAGTCACGATATCGGGGGCCCTGGACTGTTGGATCAGGTTCTGCAATATACACCCCTGAGAGATGCCACTTCAGATCACAGGAATTTCTTTACTGGTGTTGTCAGAAACTCAGCTATCAAGACCCCAGTGAGCATCTTGCCCTTGACTACCAGTGCACGGGGGTACAGAGAAGCCGAATCTCGAATTCTCTATCCAGCTGGCCGAGAAGACGGACACGTGGCAGCTCCAAGGGGATGTGTCTGTAAATGTCCTGTTTCCATCAGTGAT